GATCAGGGCTGTATAGTATTAAATGCAGTGGAAAACAATGTATAAAATCACTGGTGGGGAGGTCTGGGGGTCCTCCTCCAGAAAATTTTGATTGAAGCAGATGCCATTTCCTGCATTCTGATGTATTTTAACAGGTTGTTAAACATACTTTTACCTACAAGTAAACATTGTGAGTATTCTAAAGGCAAGGTGGAGGGGTTCTCAAACATCTTACAAGGGTGAAGAATTCCCAGGGTTCCCCTCATAAAACCCARGCAGTTTTAAGAATAATTTACTGTCATTTCCTGAATTCCATGGGAATAATACTTTTGTTTGAATGTTTTTTTGTTTGTTTGTTTTACTAGTGCATTATTCTCCATTTCCATTTTTTTAAATTAAAAACCAAATTAACTATTTATTATAACTTTTTGAGGACCCCTAAGATACAGCTCGTGGACCCCTGGGAGTCCTGGGACCCCAGTTTGAGAACCTCTGTTAGGCAACAGAAACAGTGCCGAGTGATCTAATATTTTATTGTAAATGTGGGGGTCCAAAGAAATTTGATTTTATATGTGGGGGGGTTATTACTGTGATACCTATGGGCTATTTGTCGTTTTAAAAAAGTCTAAATATACATTTTAAAAACATTTACATAAAACAAGCTTTCTCAGTCTTAAAGCCACCACCGCTTCTATGGATTTTAAAACATTTTTTTTGCTTGTTGATGTTTACTTTTGTGAACAAAAACTAATAATGAATAACCAAAACTGGAATTAAAGACTACAAAAGGCACAATTGCAAACTTACTTCTGTAGCATTATCCCAGACTATTCAGTTATTTATTTTTTATGACATGTTATTTTTAACAAATATGATTTTGGTCTGTGAGAGGAAAACATTCCAGTAAAAATACATCCTGTTCTGTAAACCAGGGCAGGAGAAGAGTCATGTGCAGTTTCAGAAGTAGACTGGTAGTAGCTGAGCTGAGAGTATTTATTTTATTATTTATTTCATAATAACAACAAAGTCCATTCAAAACATCAAAGTAAATCAATTATTGAATGTAAAGAGGGCAAAAAAAAGAAGAAAAAAAATTGTGCATCTGCCCCTAATAAAATACAACTTACAAGCACTAACATCATGTGAGGTCTTCGTTATAAATTTTGATTTGCAACCCCACTTTAAAAATAGCCGGGTTATCCCTTTATTTAACATGGCTCTGATGCTGATCCAGCTGTTTGCTGGTGATGTGCCGCACGCGCAGTGTGTCCTCGTGAGAACAGTTGTTTAAAACTATGATAAAAACATCATTRGTSTGCACAACAGGCGTAAAGGTTRGGTCTGAGCTGGGGTCTCGTCCCACGCTGCTGCAGCTTTTTTTAACAACGCACAGTGCAGACGGGTGATTGACAGGAGTGATCGGCTCTGAACGCAGCGTGCATGTGTGCAGGACTCACAATGCAGGCATGAAAACACAAAAATAGGCGGAGACGGATCTTTTTAGGCAAAGTGAGCGGTTCTGTCCAGCCAGAGAAGAAAACATTGAGTTGCACATTCATAAAAAGTGTGTGTGCATTCGTGTATGTGTGTGTTTTAGCTTGAGAAATGCTAAGTGTGGCGTGTACACATCCTACAATATGTGTCTCARGGTCAATGTGTGAGACTTGAGAGCCCTGCTCTGCTCTGTTAGCACTGTTAGCTCTGTTAGCTCTGTTAGCACTATTAGCTCTGTTAGTACTGTTAGCAATGTTAACACTGTTGGCACTGTTAGCTCCGTTAACACTGTTAGCTCTGTTAGCACTGTTAGCTCTGCTAGCACTGTTATCTCTGATGGCTGTTAGCACTGTTAGCTCTGTTAGCACTGCTGACACTGATAGCATTGTTAGCACTGTTAGCTCTGTTGGCACTGATAGCACTATTAGCTCTGTTAGCACTGTTAGCTTTGTTAGCATTGTTAGCACTGTTAGCTCTGATAGCATTGTTAGCTCTGTTAGCTCTGTTAGCACTGATAGCACTGTTAGCTCTGATAGCACGCGTTTGTAGTTTTGACTTACTATCAGCAGGGCCTCCAGCTGGGTGAGGTAGGCTTCCTCACTGGCCAGGATGCCTGACAGAACCCACTTCCTCATCTCTAGTCCTTTCTCCTGGTCCAGCTCCACCTGAGATAAGCAGAGAACAGGAGAAGAAAAACATTGACACACATGAGAAGAGGTGCGTGACAACAACACTGCATGCACACCAACTGAACAACTGAAAAGCTCTGACTTCAGGCACAGCYGTTGTGAAATGTAAAAAGATTAGATTTGATGAAACTGCTGGAGTTTTACATTCCGAGAGGCCTGCACCAGATACTCCTGGCATCTTAAAATAGATAAACATGCTTCCAGTTCAGGACTTATTGTGTCAAACAGGTCAGTAATCTTAGTTGGAAGAATCGGACCAGTAAAAAAAAAAWAAAWAAATAAAACCTCAATGAGCTGAAATACATCAAGCTCAGTTTTTCTAGATGAATAAGAGGTTGTAGGCTGAGCCCACCCACCCCCATCCTGCTCTATGATTTAGGTTTTATAAATCACCATGTGTACACATCAGAGAGTAAGGATACCCCAGATAGAATGGAGAAACAGGGGGAGGGGTGCTACGTTTCTTTTTAACATCTGTTTGGCCTCAGTATGTTTGCTGACTCTGTACAGTCTCTTTATTTCAGCGACGCCCTGCTTCACACTGAAAAGTATTCCCATCTGGGAGCTACATGGTGCTCTGTGGAGTTTACTGCTGGGCTTTGAACAGCACCTACCTTATATTTTCCATCTTCAACAGAAAATAACTAAAGGAATTCAAACCAGTCKCATGTTTAATATTAAAAAGCAACACAAACATAAATGTAACAAGTTTAGGTTTGCTAAATAATTCATTATTATTACTTGTTTGTACATTTTATTTTATTTTGCACATAGATTCAGCTTATCTGATTCAGCTAATTCACTAAGAAGCGTTTTAACTTAACAGAGCTGMTTGAACCAATCTGCCAGCCTGACAGAGAGAACAAAAAGAACTTGTTCACGCCAAATGGTTTGATGTTATTTRACTGAAGTGTTTGACACAGAATGAATTCAAACAAATGTGATTTACTTAAATTAAAGCTTTACCAAAATAAAATGGGTTAACCAGTTGTTTAGGTTAGCGCTGTACAGAGGTCTAAACAACCTTATTATATATTATAAGCATTATTATCACATATTATAGTCTCTTAATGTTACTAAAGACAGTCAAATGAAGTGAGAACAACAGAATGACCTGATGCAGAAAGAAAGGTTTTCATGGGTACTAGAGAAAAATGATAAAACATGAGAGTGTTTAAAGTAGGTGTTTGAAGATGTCTACAGTTTTATTATCAGAGAAAATAAAGTTAAAAATTGAAGGATGTAAGTTTGGGGATTGCTCAAGAAAACAGCATCAATTAATAATTGTTTGTGTTTAAAGCTTTAAATCTGTTATAATAAAGCCAATATAAGTCCTTTTTATTTAAACTAAAGGCCCTGTCACATCATCCTGTTTAGACAACTTGTGAAAAGTTTGGAGACATCTACGTTGAGATTGGAATTTTAAATAATAATTAATAACTCTAAAAATGTCCCTAAACGTGTGAACACTTGTCTGTCTCATTTGTCTATGTGGCCCTGGGAGGACATGGTGACCTGTCCACTGTGTACCCCACCAGCTCCCTACAACTCTGCATGAACAAGCAGGTATAAAATCTGAATGGATTGACRTACAGCAGTGTATCTGCCAGCTGCAACATAAACCAGAGACAAACTCAAATACAGCTACTGTTTTGACACCTTTACTATAAATAAAAGCTCTGTACTACAAAAGAGACAGTTTACCAAGAATATAGTAAAAGAATAAATAAATAGAGTTTTGTTTTTTCTCCTCCTCATGGCAATTATACTGCATTTTGCTGCAATTTGTTTTAAAATGAGGATCTGATTGTTTGTTTTTACTTAAAAAGGTGTTTTAAAATTGGTCTAATCAAATTTGGCTGGAGGACCTGCAGTCAATGACAGAAAGAAAATAAATGATACTGATCAATTAAAATGACTTTAGATTTTAAAAGTTTTACTTCCTCCTACCCTTTTCAGACATGTTAAATGGGATTTGTGTGTTATGTGTGTGTATGTTTGTGTAGATAGAGGTGCCGACATTGGGTATATACGTATTTATTTAACGAGTTTATTTATTTTGTGTTCATTCAGTTTAAAACATTTTCATTTACTGATATAAATGTATTTTATATGTTCAAAAAAATAATGTGTGTGTGTGTGTGTGTGTGTGTGTGTGTGTGTGTGTGTGTGTGT